GGTTGCAGCGGCTCAAGCTGCTGTTGCGGTGGTCAGGCTAACAAGCAACGGAAGAGGATATTCCGGCGGGAATGGAGTTTCCGGTACCTCAATGGAGCGTTGGGCCGCCGTGAAAATACAAACAGTCTTCAAGGGCTATTTGGTAATTTCACAAACCTTTACAAAAACACAAAATTTTATTTGGTCGTTTGTTATCGATTTCGACACAAAAGATCGAATTTTGCCATGTGGGTATCGTTTAGATTCGGATTTTTCTATAAGAAAAAGCATGTCTGTACATTGCTTGCTTCTTACACATCTCTCTTAATGTAACAGTACACGTCTTTGCTAATTTCAAGAAAATTTTGATTCTTTTATTAGATTAAAAACAAAGAATGTGACTGTATTGTTTTTTTGTTCAATTTAAATTTGAATTTTTTGTTTGTTATTAGGCGAGGAAAGCGCTAAGAGCTTTGAAAGGTCTAGTGAAGCTTCAAGCTTTAGTGAGAGGATTCTTAGTTCGCAAACGCGCTTCCGAAACGCTTCATAGCATGCAAGCTCTCATTAGAGCACAAACTAGCGTTCGATCGCAACGCATGAACCGCAACAACATGCATCCGCGACATTCTCTCGTAAGATCATATAACCATTCATTCATTTCTAACATTTTCAAACTTATGTCTTTGTGTATTAATAATTGATTGATTATATAATAGGAGAGATTCGACGATTCGAGAAGCGAAATCCATAGCAAGAGAATATCAATCTCTGTTGAAAAACAGAGCAATTACAACAACAACAATGCGTACGATGAGAACAGTCCCAAGATTGTTGAGATTGATACATACAAGACGAAGTCAAGATCGAAGAGAATGAATGTAGCTGTATCCGAATGTGGTGATGATTTCATGTACCAAGGCAAAGATTTCGAATGGAGTTTTCCAGGAGAGAAATGCAAGTTTCCAACGGCTCAAAACACGCCGAGATTCTCTTCTTCGGTTGCGAATAATCATCATTACTACACACCGCCTTCGCCCGCGAAAAGCGTTTGCAGAGACGCTTGTTTTAGGCCAAGTTATCCTGGTTTGATGACACCGAGTTATATGGCTAATACGCAGTCGTTTAAAGCCAAGGTGCGTTCGCATAGTGCACCGAGACAACGTCCTGATAGGAAAAGATTGTCTCTTGATGAGATTATGGCGGCTAGAAGTAGCGTTAGCGGCGTCAGGATGGTGCAACCGCAACCGCAACCGCAATCGCAGCTACAGAAACGATATGATGATCATCAGTTTCATCAAGACGCGGATTTTAGATTCTATAATTAGAAAGAAACGTTTTTATTTCGTCCTTTAAGGAAATGTCGTCATAGCTTTTGACTTTGCCATTAAGGACTTTTTATTTTATTTTCTTTTTATTTTTTTGGGTATTTTCTCCCTTTATTTGTGGGTTCTTATTTTTGTAAATTTTTTTGCTTTGGAAACAATTATTAAATTTGTTTCTCCTACACTTTCATTTCTGATGAATTTAGTGTTTATATATTAGGAGATTAATAAGCTATTTCAAATTTTCATGATAAGGTTTTGTGTTTAGGAGAATTTGAAATTCAAAGATGTGAGTAATCGAGAAGATATTATTAATAATTAAGTATGATGACGAAATGGGGTTGAAATTTGTAATAAATTGGGAATCCATGTAGCGTCAGACAAGTACGATATGACGTTATCATTATTATCAATTTCAAAATATTTTGTGATGTTTCTATATCTAATCATTTTTTTTAAACCACCAGTGAATATGATTGGTTCATGCCGATACGTGTTTGCGTCATCATATTCGTTCTTCTGAAACCCCAAAATAAAATAAAAATGTATATATCAAACGGCTTTTGATAAGCTCTGTTTACCTCGTAATCTGCCAATTAGATTCCCTATTAGCCTTTTTTAATTAAGGTTTTCTATAGTTAAATACATTAATCATACTATAGACTCTAGACGTGTATTTATGAATTATATTCTCTTTTACATTTCAAAAAAACCGAGGGAAATTCTTCTGATACACTACAGTTTCTTTTGGTTTTGGATCAAACTAGCCAAGATATTAAACATTTTATTTAGATGATGTGCTTTTTCCATTTTTATTTAACATTATTAGTCAATATATTAAAGCGTTTAATTAGTCATATAATTATTGATACTTCGAAATTTTGTTATGTGTTACTCTATCTTCATGTCTTTGTCTAAGTTTCCCAACATTCTCCAACAAGAAAGAAAATAGAATTTGAAGCTGCATAAAAAACGCAAGTTAAAAGTTGGTAAAACGTATCATTCATTCATTATTATTCAAGAACCGAAGTGAATAAATACGCAAAAAAAAGTTGGAGAGATGGACGTAATTTGTCGCCATTTTATGAGCTTATCTTTTGGTCAGAAACTATGAGATGAAACAAAAAAAAAAATTGGTTGGATCTCAAAAAAAAAAAGCTTTATCTTATGAACTCTTTCTTCTGATGCAAAAAAAAAAGGATCTTTTTTGCTTTGAACAGCTTCAAGAAAATCTACTGCTTACGGAGTCATAGCTTGGAACACTCAACACTGTAATCAAAATTCAACACAAGAAGGTACAATAAGCAAAACTGGATATGATCCAACTGTCGTTAAATGGACAAAAGAAATGTGAAACTATGTTTTTTACCGTGTCCGAAAGATGCCATTGTCAAAGGCTTTGCAATAACCTTGGTGGTGAAATCTGCAATGTCCTTTAAGGTAAGTTGGTCTACTGTCTTCAAGAACTGGTCAACTGGTTTCCTGCAGATATGAAGACCCGGTTAGAGACATGTCCTGGTTATAAACCGGTTTAGAGATGGTATGTGTATGTACCTCTCTCCGTATGTAAGTATCTGTCTACCTATGTCTTCTGCGGCAATCATCTGCCAAAATCACACAAACCATTAGCAAATCACACATCTCATACCTTAAAAAACAACGGTGGAAGTTATTCGTAGGTACCCGAGACTCCAAATTCATCAGAATTGCAGATTTCGTTGCTGCCTTGGCACGATCAAGATGTTTCTGGTTAACTGCCAAAAACAAGTAACTAGAGTAAATAATATGCTTCAGATATATTGATAGATTAGATGGAAATATATGCGAATACCTTTTCCTTCGGCAACAGCTTTCATTTCATCAGCTGCTAATTCAATTCCCTTTGCAGCAAACTCAGGACTCTGCAACCCAAATAAAATGTAAGCAAACACGCCTTGGAGATACCGAGCTTAAAACCCTTAGTAATCAACAAATAGAAAATCGGTGAAAACTTACCGTGCAACCATAGATTCCAAACAATCCGGTATTGTTAAAGATACTTGTGAATGCGGTGCATGATTGAACCTGCTGATATTCGTTCAAAATACGGAGATCTGCATCCACACATTACAACACATTGTTGTCATCATCACGACTAATGAACCTATATCAAAAGATTAAGCGTTTAAAAACTAGATGGAATGTAAGTAGAAAGAAACACATCAAGAGACATACAGAGCCAAGAGTGCATTCCCTTTCCAGGGCCTCCCGCAGAGAATGAGCCACCTCCTCCNATAAGCATCTAACATGAATTAGATTTTACACCATTAAACTTTACATGTGAAAGACCGGTAACGTATTTGAGTTAAGCACCTGAAGAACAGTGGCAATAATAGCTTCCTTTTCGTTATCCCATCCTGGCACTTCAAAAGCAAGCGCAAGATGTGTAGCCTGAGAATGGTGAAATAAAAGTAGAATAGAAATTAGGAATAATATACCCTTTCTTTTTAGCTCATTCAGGCTCAATGAAAGGATATCATGAGTACCTCTCCACCAGTATGTTGACGGAAATCTCCACCAACATATTGAGACTTCGGCTCTGCTGGTCGGGTTACATTAGGAAGGTCAGAAAGTAATGGCTCAACCACTTTTAAAAGTTCTTCATGTTCAACGCCACTAGCTGCTAGTACCATTCTTGCAGCAGTGTAGTTCTCCTAAAATGTTGCATACCAAATGAGAAAAAGACACGAAGGCGATACATCTAAGCTAACTAAAGCTAACGACCCTAGTTCCAGAGAAGAAATGGGATATTCTTTTTGTGTTATTGCGGTCTTACAGAAACAAACTCCTCCAAAACGTCCCCATTCAATCCATTGATTGCAGATTCAGATGCATATAACGGTTTCGCCAATGCGCCAGAGTAACCAGCAGAATGAATCGCCTCCAAGAGAAAACCCAGAGGATTCTTTGCAAGTTCTCCAATCTCCACTTTCACTTTTCGGAGCTGTAGGGATAATAAGCCACAGAAACAGAGCATTAAAAATGTTTTGTTTTGAATTCAGTGAGATTAATGCGACCTGACATTATTACCTCTTCGTTCACTTCCCAATCCAAGAACGCAGGGTTCCTCACACTATCGATAAGCACTTCTACCATTTCGGGAACATAGGTTTTGAGAGCATCGATTGTGTAACCCATCTGCTCACGGGATGCAGAGGCTGAAGTATTACCTCCCATAGCCTCTATTTCCCTTACAAGGCGAAGATGGCTTCTGTTCAATGTACTCTTGAAAGCCATCCTTTCAAGCAAGTGTGTTGCTCCACGGAAATAAGGTGTCTCGTAAATAGAACCACAATCAACGTATAAACCAATGGAGGCTGCTGGATTCTGAATTCAACAAAAAAACGTAATTTGTTCAAAAAACACTTTGCAATTTCGATACTTTCAACAATAAGTTAATGCTGAGATTATAAAAAGAAGCTCTGACCGGAGACATCTCAGAGGCTATTTTCAGACCATTTGGAAGAGTAGTCGTCTTAAGTTTGCTAGGCTCGACATTGTCAGCGAGTGGTGGTGGAAGAGAGACACCGGCCAAGTGAATGTCCATCGAAGGAAGCGAAGTAGAGGAGCCTCCAGTTAGCCAGCTGGCGAAACCCGGTGTTGAAGAAGAACTCGCTGCAACAGCACTAGAACTTGCATAGCGCGATGCCCGCAAATTACGGCTAAGACAGCCCTATAAAAACCACAAATCCAAATGCTTCTTCAAAACTCAATTCCTTTATCTGAGGACTCATGATGCTCAATTGATACAGAAACCAGCTAATTCATTGCAAGAATAGCTATTTTAATCAAAATGTGGGGGGAAAAAAAATCAACCTTGTTAAGAAAATCTAAATCCAGGGATTAACAATTGACAATGAAAAATAAGAACTTTCAAAACATATATAATTACAAAAACTATGAAATGTGACAGACCAGCTGGTAGAAAAAGGAATAAAATTGAATCAAGATCTATAAGAATCTATGAGACCCTTTAATACGTAACCAAAATTACTGAATCATACAAATTGTTCACTACTCGTATCGTATGTATATTCCAAGCCTCTTCCTAAAAGTGAATGCAAAAAAAAGGTGGAGTTGGACATTGACCTTAAGGGCCTTGGCTCGTGAAGCTGCCGTGCGGTACATGGCTACCGTGAAACCCTAGATCGGTCTGACGAGTACCGGTGTTGATGTCTGACGACA